TCTTTTCTTTAGCCAGGATCCTGTGATCAAGGACTACCGGGCCCTGTTTTGGTCCATAAAAATGTTTCTGCCTTGTCTAAGGATGGTATCAGTCATTACTGAGTACTTACTTAGCTATCAAGTTAAATATTTATTAAAGTGTTCTCTGATTAATATTGAAGTCCCACCTTTATTCTGGAGATTGCTAACTTAAAATTGTCATCATAAAGATACAAAAGGTAACAAAACATATTAAAAACTGAAGCGTCCAACTAGCATTAAATACGAAGTTGAAATGAAAATAAGATAGGTTGTAAAATTATGTTATGAAGGCTTTACTTGATGTATCTAAAATATAAGAGTTTCGCTTTAAGAAATGTGTATGCTTTTAGTTTCTTTTTAAGTTTTGTGCGTGTAAAAAGCTAAAATAAGTAGGCCTGCTTTCGTGTGCACTGTTTCGCAGGCACATTATGATAATATACATTTAGCAAATCGAGAGACAAACCTAGATTGATTTGATTCTATTTGATTTGATGTTCGAGACAATTATTGTGTAGACACGTCAATATTAGAGAACAACTTTCTTTTTCTATTGGTAAAGTATTCCAAAATTTTGAACTGCTGTTGAAATAAAGCTTTTTAAACCAAGTCTAGCATATTAACAAAGTATAGCGCATTTAACAATATTTATAAGTTAGTTTTAACCAATTACTTCTTACATAACTTACAATTTTTGGCTTGGAAATCTCATAACTTTGCGTTTAGAGTTGCATATAATAAAAAAATGGAATAATAGCCAAATTAATACTAAATTAAAACTTGAATTAATCTAGCAAAATTACGTGGTTATTTCTTACAATCAAAAAAAGATAGGAAAATTAATCGGTTAATAATATAAAATAAAATAAATTATAGAATCGCAATTAAAAACTAATGTACTAAATAGTCAATATACACAATGTGTGTCTTTTATTGAAGTTCTATATACAGTAGTTCAGGATACGTTTTATGTTTTAAGCTTATAGTGAAGTATATTATTAGCCCGTCCTGAAATTATGTATCAATGAGACACTAGAATATAGGGATAAACCACTATAATAAGAATCATTAGGTCCTATCATTTAGTTCCTAATTCATAAGTTACAACCCACCCTGAAAATCAGAGATAAAAATAGACGTGTGAAACGATCTCGCAGTCAATGAAAGAGCAACGCCAACGAACCTCGACAAATAAATCAGTTTTGAATCTGTAATCACTTTAATTTATGCTCCGAACCCGTCGCTTTCCTGTCTTCAATTTCTAATTTGCCAATTTAACGGTTGTAATTTCCCAGCAACGCATAATCTTGCTGGATCGTATATCATCACCTTAGCAACACGGGATAGAAGGCGGGTTGCCTCATTCGCCCCACACACTTGAGGAACTTTGTTGTGTTTTCGTAGAAATTAAAATTGTAGTTGTAATTGATTTAATATGAATGGTATGATATCGCTATAAAACACAAATAACTGACACGAAACCAACTGATACACATATATCTCTTGTAGTATTTTATTTACTTCTTTTGGCTATAATGATAGAGTTAGTTAAGAAAGCAATAGTTTTTCAATAAAAGGTTGAAATTACCTGCATCCCTCAAGTGATCCTAGATCGTAGTTAGTTGACTACAGCTGCATCATGTTGTTATAAACACATCTTCACATGGAACCATTCCTTGGAATAAATCAATGTAAAATTTGACCTGAAGATGTGTTTATAATAACATGAAACAGCTGTAGTCAACTAACTACAATCTAGGATCACTTGACCGGTAATTTAAAACTTTTATTGCAAAAATCAGTGATCCAGAGGCTATATACAATAAAAATGAAATAGTTTTTCAATAAAATGATCCGTTAAATGGCTTATGAATAATATTTTGTTAGGTAATAAATATTTACAAAAACTGATCACAGGAAAAACTCAACTAAAAGTAATAGTATATTATGTTACTAGTCCGGAAAATAGGTGGATTACTATCCGATTGCGGTAAACACGTTTTGGACGAGTGGCGTAAGAAATATTTTGCTATTACTACCCTAAAGTAACCTAACATTGTGAAAGATTGTCAAAATCAATTATATAATCCCGCCGACTTGAGTACTTAACAATCATTACTCATAACTTGTGTGAGGGGTACAAGTATTCTTGGACAAATGATATTTAACTAAACAATATACCTAATGATAATCAGTTACAGAGATCAAGATGAAATGTTTTCAACAATTAGACATTTCATCCTGGCATTTAATCTATGGCTAGGTTTACGATAAAATGAATGTAGAATTGAAACAATCACAGTGTGTGCTGTTGTCAATTGTTTTTTTTTGTTTTTTCAGTTAGATTGAACTGTTTATTAACTGAGAATAACTGACTGGGTAGTATTGCAAACTATATATTTTGTCAGATCAACATTTGTAGTATAAAAAAAGAACATGACTTAGAAAGTTGAATATTCTGTGAGAGAATCAACTAGTCTCTTTTGAATAAAAAAATAGCCACAGTAAGTTAATATAGGTAAGATGTCTACTTTAGTTACTTAAAGTCAATGTTGCAACATTCTGAATAGGTCCACGTGTTTTTTCACTAACCCTAACCCATATATGAATTCATTATGATATGAACCTTACATTAACCACAAGTTTTTAAAGGAGTATTTTCTTTAAGAAAATATTATATAGATCTCATATTTGTCCTATAAGATTATAAGATTTCCCCATCGTCGAAATGCACTGTGTAATAACTAAACTACAATATTAAATCAGCTGATTTAACATTCTAAAAAGCGAGGTAATGACAATTATTATTATACCATCTAGAATTTTACTAACAGATCGTGTTTGCTATAAAGTACCTAAGCGTAGAAGTTTTGTATAAAATACATAAATGCCATCTTGAAAACGAATGCCCTTTTAGATAAGTTCGAAAGTTTAATGATACAATATTACTATCGTCAAAGATAATTAAGCTAAGCTAATTAGCCTATAATAAAAGATCTTAAAAGCAGAATATTAAAAAAAAACTGTTGCTTTTCTAAAACACATTAAATTTAATTAGTTTATTTATTTTTAAGCTAAAGCTGTTCATTTAGAAATTATTAATGTATTTTTTTAGTTTGCATTGTGCATTAACTAATCAGCGTTTGAGCCTGTGTATGATGTTGGTTGAAAATATCATTCAAACCATTATTCAAACCCTTTAGCTTAATAAACGAAAATAATTTAAAACTTCTAAACCAAGAACATAATTTCCATGAAACAATGAAATGTCGAACTTGAATTAAAACTAAAATATTAAATTACCATTACCCCTTTAAGATTTATTCAGAAATCAGAGAGTTCAAAAGAATCGTTTGTGTATATAGTATATGATATAAGAAGTAAAAAAAAAAAAAACAATTAGTAAAAAATCTATTAAAAAGTGAAATAATAATATATTGAAGGATATACAGAAACTCTTCTGTAGCTAATTACAATTTCAGGGAGATAGCACACTATCATGATCTTAGGTTCACTGTGAAAATCAAATTTTTCACTAAACATATTTTCAAACACAAGTTAAAGAAACCCAATAGTTACCATTTGCCAATTAATATTGAGCTGATGTCGTAGTTAATTAAATATCCTAACTATCTTCCCAAATAAAAAGAGAAACTTTCTTTTGTTATCCAGCAATTCGTAAGACATCAATTTCAAAAAGAGGTTTTGCTAGAAGCCACAAAACATTCCAGTTATTGCATACTGATCAAATAAGGTAGCCCTCTATTAAAAAGAAGTCTGGTTCCCGAAACCATTATTCAATATTAATGATACAGATATGGAGTATAGAGATTAACCGTTACGGTATTTGGGTCACTTGTTGCATAAGTTCGGCGCTGACCGGCGCGGCGTCTCAAAATATTAAAATTAACTCGACCAGGTGAAACTCGGCTGTTTTTGCGCGGAACAGCTGTTCAAAATTAGGAAAATATAATGGGAGTGTAATGAGAAAAGCGTTTTCAACACGTTTTAAGTATATTAGAATTAAACTTAATAAATATGACATAGACAAAATTATATAAAAGTCATAGGTGCAATATGTTATTCGTATTAACATTAAGAAACACAAACTTAGTGTTAATCGCTTACACTTGTCTGCATTTATTTTATTATAAATGATTTATCATCATAAGATACGAGCAGTTTAGTTTAATTACTTCTTAACACAACTTAAATTAAAGCACGTTGTAACACGGATCTACTACCTATTTTCAGGGAGAGAGTTTATTTTTTATCTTAATGATGTAATTGATTATACAAAAAGTGAATTATTACTTCAAAATCTGTTCGTTCTGAATGTTTGGGTTTCTTTTAAATCACAGAAGCAGAATTGCCGTGCTAAAATATTTCGTAAAAATATATTCTCAAAGATATTTTGTACTTTTGTATGTCATAGTCACAACATAAGTAACACAGTTTTTAAAATGCTTTTGTAGTGGTTTTTCGTTATCTAATAGTTTTGTAAATATTTTGATTATAAAAACGAGCATTTTGTTTTGTTTATGATTCTAATCAAATACGTCGTAAATAATCAAAGCACCCTAGAAGTTACTGAAACCCAGTGTATGCATGAATTTAATATTGGTACTTTGATATTGACTATCAAATAACTTTAACATTAGCTTATTATTTTACAATCAGATCTTTACATAATTTCAATCAAGTTTGTGCAATACAAAAACTTTCAAGAACTAAAATCAATATCAATCAACCCAAAATAGTAAGTTTTTCACAGTTTTTTTTAACTTACTACTTTGAAAGAACACATTTTTTACACTTATTAAATCCCTACTCTTCACAAAAACTAAGATTGTTAAAAAAAACTAAAACGTTAAGAATTTTAACAACAAATCCATAATTTCAACATGAAAACAAGATATCTAATAAAAATCCAAAATCCCACTTGATACTACAAAACTTTAAGTTAAAGATAAGTTTCATACCTTGGCAGCCGGCATGATGATAATAACACAAGGAACTAACACAACACAACACTCACTGTACCAGCCGTGCCACAGTGAGCGGCTCACTTATATATGGGGCACGGTGGGTGTGTCCCCCCGCCCCCCACCAGCACGGGGGGTGAAACGGCTCAATTACTCTGTTTTGGTGGTAAATACCATCGGTGGCTCAACTAACGAATTCTGTATGAGTAATTAGGGTGGCTCAGGTGTTTGGGAGTGCTATAGCGATTTTTTTAAGTATTGGTTGTGAAATGGCTGAAGTATTCTGTTTTGGTGGTAAATACCATAAGTGGTTCAACTAATGAATATTTTGTATGATCTTTAGGGCAATGTGTTAAAAAATGGTAGAATTTTGCGATTGGAGGAATTGATGTGTTTGCTAAGTCTGTAGAACGGCTCAACATACTCTGTTTGTACAACAAACATAATTTGGTGTATCAACTAAGGCCGAAAATCCTATTTGTACTTTGGGTCATTAGGTTGATGGTTTAGGCAGTTTTTTGTTAGAGAGGTCCAATAGCAATTTCTGGAATAATAATACTAGTTGTTGGCTGATTTGGAACCTGTAATTGTGGCTTTGATTACTGTAAACTGCACTTTGAGTACTTTGAATTCTACTTTTCTATTGTACTTTGAGTAGTGAGGGTAATGGGTCACATATTTTGTTGTAAGGCGGGGTTAGGTGGTCGCTGGGTTAAACATTTCTTTCGCGATTTGTTGAAAAGTAACTTGGTTTTGGTTGTGAAAGAACTAAATTACTCTGTTTTGGTTGTAATACTAATAAGTGGCATGGCTATCGCCGAATGTCTTATTGGGCATTTGTACCATGGTGACTAGTCAACGACGATTCATTACTTTTGTTGGAGGCTACACAAATTAATATATTTTTGTTTGTTTAGGAGGGATGTGTTTTTTTTTTATTGTAAGAGGACTTAATTACTCTGTTTTGGTGGTAGACACAAATCGGTAGCCCAAGTAAGGTGGTGCTGCTATTTTCTACTATAGCTTTGAGTCATTGGGACAAAGTGTAAATAATGGTTGATTTACCGATATTTTGAGAATTTATATGGATTTTAGTTGTATTTGTAAAACTAGTCAATTATACTATTTTTGTAAAAAAAAAAATCATTCGGTGGCTAGACTGAGGCCAAAAGGGGATTTTTGAGTCATCATTAACCTCTTATGATAAACAACAAACTCTGCTCAACTAACCTTAGTTTTAACTTCCATAATCAAGTACTAAAAACCCGGATTTAAGTTTAAAATTTGTGTTGCATCTCTATCAAGTTGAATTTAATATCTTAAGAATAACTAAAAATTTTTTAGATCAACCCTATGGGTGAATGTATCTTTTTGTCTGTTAACTTTTGGAACTGGCGTGTACTGCATGAAATAAATAAATAATACATTATGTTGATGAGTCTATGATGAGTTATCCTATGATAATGTTAGGATTTAGGCGAATCTTGGTTGTGTATGTAAAAAGGGTCAATCATTCAGTTTTGTGAAAGAAACATATTAATGTGTGGCTAAAATAAGGCTAAATATCCTATAGCCTCTGTTAGTCATAAAGGAGATTAGTGAAGAACGGATTTTCAAGATTTTTGATGATTGGTGCATAGCTCGGTTTGGGGGTTTAGTACAGTATAATGTGTATTCTCATACTACTTTAGTATTTTCTAATAACACGTAACTGATAAAATCAAGGATATTTGTAATTTAAATAATTTTTTTTTGTAGAAATCATGACACTGTTAAACATGCGTTTGAAGGGAATTTGTTATAGAAGCTCTTGCAAAAGAATACACGATAAAGGAGAGAATTCGATTATAATATTGAACTTTAAGTTACCAATATTTTTGTCTCTATCTACTAACAAATAATAGTGCTTTTGTAACAACCAATAAATAAAAAAATGTAAGCTAACGGTTAAGTTTGGGGAAAGGTTTGCTATATAGTATGACAGAATGTAGCGTGGTTTTACTTTTTTACACGAGAATGAGAAAATGAATACAACTCAGCAACACACTAGGTCGCCGACGGAGAACTAATATTGTGTGATTCCTTTGTCGACGGCTTCAACACTGACGTGCAGGAAATACATGGTTTGGCGGGAATTTCATGTGAGGAACAAATTTTTGGCGCGGAGAAAACAGCTGAAACACCCCATATTGCAAACAGGATAGAATCGAAAAGCCGTGAAAGAATACCATGCCGAGGTAAATTTTCAGGTTATTCTGAAGAAAGAGAAACAAAATTTTAGCATAATTACGTTATTTGGTAAAGGTTGCTCGACTACTAAAAACTTATTTTTAAAATATCTGAATACTCACAACCACGATGAAAATTATTGATTTACAATTTAGTGTTATTTGATTAAATTTATTAGAACGGAATCACAGTCGAACAATGAAATTATTTTATCGTTTTGTTTTACTGTTTAGGAAAACACAGAAATAATTGCATGTATAAAATAGTTAAAACGATAAACTTGGTTCCTATTTTTGTTTACCATCTTTCCTAAAGTACAGGTTGTCAAATAGGAATCTGAAAAATGAACACAAGTTAGTATAGTTCAATACCGCAATGGAATGTTTGGTGGTATGTAAACTTTATTTTGATAGTAATTATACATTCAGAATGTATACACTTACACTTGCATATTCTATTACTTCGGATTTTAGATCATAATTATAATAATTTATAAATTTATAATTTGTCTTCGAAATTATAAAGAAACCCTATATACCTTTAGTTTTGAAAACTATCCTACAGTATTATAAATTAATTTAATAATTGTAAAGCAATAGAGTTTCTTACCTTAGCAGCTTAAAATGTATAGCTTTACTAGCATCGAACTAATAATAAAACATGCAATACAATTTAATCGTTTTAATATTAAATATCGTAATAATATGTGTATTTGATGAACTGTATTACAAAAATTTGTAAACTTAAACATTTTTCCAATCAGAAGTAAGATAAAAATCCACAATTAATTACCACTTTAAATAACATAAAAAAAATACTTAGGGTAACCAAGGGCTTATGAAAATATTATTTATAAATATATAAACGAACCTATTTAATTATTAACAAAATTTTCTTTACTGCACGCTTACTCGCCTGTTAATGATAACCACTTATTACAATCTGATAAAACTTATTATAAATTTAGTAAAACCTTTGAGTACATAGTATCGCAAATACCGACCGAAACCCAATTACAGTAGGATTACTTGAAACTATTACAAGAACCGATTTTATTTTTAAACAAGAAAGGTTTTGAATTGTTGGCAAACATATATTCAATTCGTTCTTAAAAGATGCGCCGTTTCCATTTACAATCATCTACCTGTTCACTATTTCACACGCTGCAATTTTGATACAATTTATTTTATACAGCTAACAAAATTCTCCCTTATTCTTACAAAATACAAGTATACACTTTTATGACTCTGATTTAGCCTTTGGATAAAAATTTACGCAATCAAATATATTCTATTAAAACAACGCATTGCAAGATTTATATTTCTTTGGTATGAAACTGATTGTGTTTGATCAGTGGGATTCAAATCACCAAAATCGTACTTTTGCTTCATTCTCTAGTAACATTTTCATTCATGTTCATTATTTTAAAGGTAAAATTAAATATTAATAATATTATTGAAATAAGTAATGTAACAATTTTAAAATAATATTTAAGAAACATTAAAAATCCCTATTCAGGTTTACGCGTTATTAATTTTTCAATAAGTAAATACAAATTCGTCTAGTAACACTTGGAACATACATATAGCCTATACTTATACTGTAAACTCATATGGAGTCTATCTAAAAAATGGTAAAATGGTGATAGATTTGAATTAGACAGAATAAACATCAGACCCATTAGGTGAATGAGACCCCATTACACTACAATTGAATAGTACAATCAGATTGGAGTGTTCTACTGAGATCGATCAACATTTAATTTTGTATGTCACTTTTTCCCTCAGCTTAGTAAATACAGGGTTACTAAAAAGTCTGGAGACCCCTGTAAATTTTTTAACGGCCCATACTAGAAAAACTAAACTGTGCACACCTTTATGGAATGTTATGAAGTACTTTTTAGGCATAACCGCCACTTCGTGTACATCCCCAAATTGGGGGATTTCGGGGGAAACTCAAAAATTTCAAAAGGTAAGACCCATCGAGTGACCCCTCAGTTTGAAGTTCCTGGTAAAAAAACCAACAACATAAATTAGAGGTCTATATCTTAGCAGTAAAGTAATATGTCAGTCAATTTAAATCCTGAGAGGTCACTCGATGGGTACCTTTTACCATTTGAAAGTTTTGAGTTTCCTCCGAAATCCCCCATTTTGGGGATGTACACGAAGTGGTGGTTATGCCTAAAAAGTACTTCATAACATGCCATAAAGGTGTGCAGTTTAGTTTTTCTAGTGTGCGCTGTAAAGAAAATTGACAGTGGGTCTCCAGACTTTTTATTAACCCTGTATAAAGATTAAAATCTACTATAATATTTATTTGTAATGACTTTGATTACCTTTTGTTAATTTATTTGATCAGCTGACTTTTAAAATAAGTGTTTTATTATTTTTAGGTTTTTACACAACTCAATTGTCTTTTGAATACAAAACATCAACGTGAATATGTGAAAATAAAAAAATCTATTGTTCACTATTTAACTATTTATTTCTTAACTGTCTACTTTATAATTCCAATAAAATATCTATATTTTGCAACTTTTCACTATTACACCACAGATCGTCATGATACCCTGCGTGCTAGGACGTTCCAATTCCCATTTCCCCTTGTCCGCGTGTGAGCCCCAGGGGAACGCAAGTTAGTGACCAACATCAAAACCGGATTACAGATTTCGAAATGGCAGCCGTTCAGCATTTTTGCATAAAACCCGAGATTTCAATAAAAACACGGTATCAATTCACACGTCGAGTGCTCTTGTTTTGATGGAGTCTTAAGGAAACTGTGTGGTGTTTATTTAGCTGTGTGTGTTAGATGTTGCTAAAGACTTCTAG